GACCCGGGGCTCGGGGCTCGCGTGTGGGGTCCTGGGGCCTGGCTGCGTCGCCGCTCACCAACATCTCTCTCCGTCGCCACGTGGAACATCTCCTGTGTGAGTAGAACTAGTGTTGTACTCAGTGTGAGTAGAACTAGTGTTGTACTCAGTGTGTGAGTAGAACTAGTGTTGTACTCAGTGTGAGTAGAACTAGTGTTGTACTCAGTGTGTGAGTAGAACTAGTGTTGTACTCAGTGTGTGAGTGTGTGGATGAGTGGGTGTGTGGATGAATGGGTGTGTGGGTGGGTGAGTGGGTGGGTGAGTGGATGAGTGGGTGGGTGGATGTGTGGATAAGTGAGTGGGTGGATGAGTGTTTGGGTGGATGTGTGGGTGGGTGGATGTGTGGGTGGGTGGATATGTGGGTGAGTGGGTGTGTGGGTGAGTGGCTGTGTGGGTGTGTGGGTGTGTGGATAAATGGGTGGGTGGATGAATGGGTGAGTGGGTGTGTGGGTGGGTGGATGTGTGGGTGGGTGGATGTGTGGGTGGGTGGGTGGATGAGCCCCAATTTGGTTTCAGGCCAGGGCTGTCCTACACTGACGCCATATTCTCTGTCCATCTGCAACAGCCGAGGTGTATGGAATTCCAACAAGACCGAAGTCTCTGCATATTGACCTGGTCAAGGTCTATGATACCATCACTAGGCCTGGGCTTTAACTTATTCTTCATGCTTTCGGAATCCCTGACTCTCCGCTTACAATCATTAAGATCTTCATGATGGTGGGCAGGCCCTGGTAAAGCTACGTGGCCGGTAGTTAGAGCCAATCCCTGGACACCTTTGCGGTGTGACAGGGATGTCCTCTACATTATTTAACATGTTCTTTGACAACGTAGTTCGAGAAGCTTCCATGGCTATACAGATACAATGGAAGGCTGATCGATGCCCGGGTGTGGTCGAGGGACGCCTCCCTATAGGTCAACTACGTGATGTATGCTGATGATCTGGTGATTGCTGATCACCAGAAAAACGAGTTGAAGGCGCTGCTGCTCTTAGCGTACCGCTAAGAGGTGCGGCGTTACCATCAGCCCCTCCAAAACTAAGCATCTGCCTGGGTATTTGTAACATCAGACACTCGACACCCTCATCTCCCCATCGGCAAGGCAGTTGTAGACAGAGCAGGGGATTATTTTCCGTACCTGGGCAGTGTGCTTATGACCAGATCTCACGCTCAATCAGTCGAGTGGCATTACCTTTTCATCTGCTGCGTAGTTCTGTGTGGTAGCTACCTGGTCTGTCACTCCACAAAGATGCAGGTCTTTTCGTCCACGTTCATGCCCTACCTTCTCAATGCTTGCGAAACGTGGACCGCCCTAATGGAACATCTTCGCCGGGTTGAGACATTCATGCTGGCCTGCCTACCATCCATCCTGGGTTTAACCAGGCTGGATTGTGTGAGGAGCTCACAAATCTGTGAAAGATCTGGACAAAGTCCCATCGGTGAGCTCTTCCAGCAGGCAAGGCTGCGTTGGCTGGGCCATGTAGCCCGCATTCCCAGCCACCGCATGCCTAAGCAGCTTTTGTTCGGCTGAATAAAGGAGACTGAACGGGCGTGGCGTAGCCTAGAGCAGAGATGGAGTGATGTGGTACAAGAAGATGTTGAGCTGAGTGGACTTGCCGATGACTGGTACCAGCAGTGTCAAGATCTGCCTCTGTGGAGGAGGCTCGCGAAGGACGCTGCTACTGAGCAGTCGACATCCAGCAACAACGGAGGGCAGAGGAGCGACGCCCACAATGACGAGCGGAGCCCCCGGCGGCTAAAACACAGCAAGTTGGCACAGTAGGGGGGTGGAGGTGATGCATCTGCCAGTTATCTCAGTCAGTCAACCCATGGCACCTGGGTCTGTCCCGAGACCTGCAAGTGGGCATTCGACACTTAGAGTGCACATAGCTTAGCACCACAAGCGCCGTGGTGACATTACCGCCACTTAGTGGCGACTGGCTGTTGTTGTTGTTGAGTGTGTGCGTGGGTGGGTGAGTGAGTAGGTGGTTGGGTGAGTGTATGTAGTGAGTGGGTGAGTGAATGGGTGAGTGAGTGAGTGACTGAACACCCTCTGTCAGGTGGGTAGATGGCCCAATGGTCACAGCGATCACCACTTGACCCTGACGAGGCCTCCCCTAGGGTAGACTCAGCCCTAAAGCGGCGGAATGTGCCTCACACACCCACACATGCGCACGCGCGTGCACCAGCAGCACACACACCGGCTGCTAGCAGGTATGTCCCGGTGACCCGATGCACGATTCTGATCCGATCAGCGGCCCTGAGCCCTGTAATTATCCCGAGCCAGTCGCGATTATTGCCGGGGAGTTAGTGAAGAGGGGGGGGGGGTATGAAATGTTGATGACTGCGGGATATGAAGCTGCCCACTCGCTGCTCTCTCTCCCTCCAACCTGATCTCCTCCACCACGTTACCCCCTTCTTCCCCCACCCCTCCCCTACACCCACTCTATAACCTGCTCGTACGCCCCCAATGGCAGGACACAGTGTCAGGCAGCATTCCCACGACCGCAGAATTCAGGCCGAGCGTTGGTAATTGGCATCCAATTACTCTCCAGAATATTTGACTAATCGAATACTATTATATTATATACGTACTCGATTTCTGCCACTGAGCGATTCAGCACCAGGGACAGCGCCCCAACGGGGTCACTGGGCGATTCAGCACCGGGGACAGCGCCCCCACGGGTCACTGGGCCATTCAGCACCAGGGACAGCGCCCCCACGGGGTAACTGGGCCATTCAGCACCAGGGACAGCGCCCCCACGGGGTCACTGGGCGATTCAGCACCAGGGACAGCGCCCCCACGGGGTCACTGGGCGATTCAGCACCAGGGACAGCGCCCCCACGGGGTCACTGGGCGATTCAGCACCAGGGACAGTGCCCCCACGGGGTCACTGGGCGATTCAGAACCAGGGACAGCGCCCCCACTGTGTCACTGGGCGATTCAGCACCAGGGACAGCGCCCCCACGGGGTAACTGGGCGATTCAGCACCAGGGACAGCGCTCCCACGGGGTCACTGGGCGATTCAGCACCAGGGACAGCGCCCCCACGAGGTCACTGAGCGATTCAGCACCAGGGACAGTGCCCCCACGGGGTCACTGGGCGATTCAGCACCAGGGACAGCGCCCCCACTGTGTCACTGGGCGATTCAGCACCAGGGACAGCGCCCCCACGGTGTCACTGGGCGATTCAGCACCAGGGACAGCGCCCCCACGGTGTCACTGGGCGATTCAGCACCAGGGACAGCGCCCCCACGGGGTCACTGGGCGATTCAGCACCAGGGACAGCGCCCCCACGGGGTCACTGGGCGATTCAGCACCAGGGACAGTGCCCCCACGGGGTCACTGGGCGATTCAGCACCAGGGACAGCGCCCCCACGGTGTCACTGGGCAATTCAGCACCAGGGACAGCGCCCCCACGGGGTTACTGGGCGATTCAGCACCAGGGACAGCGCCCCCACGGTGTCACTGGGCCATTCAGCACCAGGGACAGCGCCCCCACGGGGTCACTGGGCGATTCAGCACCAGGGACAGCGCCCCCACGGGGTCACTGGGCGATTCAGCACCAGGGACAGCGCCTGGTCTCCTCCGCCCCGTGCATGGCTGAGTGAGGGTGCCAATGGAATGCCTCGGGTGCAATGAAAGGACACGTGGTTAGAGCGTGTGGGGTTTGTGTTATCTATGTGTGTGTATATATACATGTGTGTATGCATGTGTTATGTCTGCAAATAACGTGCTTTGTGTGCAGTGCGTTGTACGTTCGGGTTGTGTTGGGCATCTATCATTCTGGGCCATGCTGAATCCACTGCTGAATGCCGCCGCCATTTTAGGATCATGCGCTGGTAACAAGTCATCCGGTGAGTTCAGTTTCCCGCTCACGACCAACAACAGTGGCAGATATTTGACACGGTCCTAGGCCTCCCCTAGGTTAACTCAGCCTTAAATGAATACCCGGTGCGGTGTGTAAACATCAGCATTGGGGGAGACAAAGGCGGCCAGCCGGCCGTGGTGCTATGCCGGCCTTAATATGTGCTGCCCGCTAACAGCACTTGCCCCAACAGCCTTTGTAGGCTATCCGGGGCGTCTTGGTCTTCATTTGTTTCATGCCCGAGGAACAGCATCGCCCCCCCCCCCCCCGCTCCTCCCCCTCCCCCCGGCTCCCATCGCCTCAGCTGCCGCTCCCGCGGCTCCTCACCCGGCCGCCTCCCCCGCCTCTCCCACAACCACGCCCTGGGTCGCTGGGCGTGGTTTGAAGCGGTGGGGTGCGGTGGGGTGATGTGGGGGGGGGTGACGCTGTGGGTGTAGTGTGGGTGATGCGGTGGTGGTGGTTTGAGCGAAGCGGTGGAGTTGGTGTGGGTGACGTGGTAGGCGTGGTGTGGGTGACGTGGTGGGGGTGGTGTGGGTGGTGTGGGTGACGCGGTGGGGGTGGTGCGGGTGACGTGGTGGGGGTGGTGTGGGTGACGTGGTGTGGGTGGTGTGGGTGACACGGTGGGGGTGGAGTGGGTGACACCGATGGGTGACGCGGTGGGGGTGGTGTGGGTGACGCGGTGGGAGTGGAGTGGGTGAAGCGGTGGGGGTGGTAGTGGGTGACGTGGTGTGGGTGGTGTGGGTGATGCGGTAGGGGTGGAGTGGGTGACGCGGTGGGGGTGGAGTGGGTGACACCGATGAGTGACGCGGTGGGGGTGGTGTGGGTGACGCAGTGGGGGTGGAGTGGGTGACACTGATGGGTGATGCGGTGGGAGTGGAGTGGGTGACGCGGTGGGGGTGATGTGGGTGACGCGGTGGGGGTGGAGTGGGTGACACTGATGGATGACGCGGTGTGGGTGGAGTGGGTGACACTGATGGGTGACGCGGTGGGGGTGATGTGGGTGACGCGGTGGGGGTGGAGTGGGTGACACTGATGGGTGACGCGGTGGAGGTGATGTGTCACCCGGTGCTCCCCAGTGCCCTCGCGTCTCTCTGTAGCCGCATCAATCTCGGGCTCCAGGGAGTGGTGCGACTGCGGTTGGCATAGTGATGATGCTTGCGGTGTGGATGGCAATTTGATGGTTGCGACGGTGATGTTGATAATGGTGGTAGCGATGGTGATTGTGTGAATTTTCGTAGTCATAGGAATGGTGGTTGATAGTGTTAGTTGGTGGTTGTAGTGATGGTGGTGATGGTGGTTGTGGTGGTGATGATGATGATGGTGATGATGATGGTGGTGTGTTAATTATTTCTATCGTGACAGCGTGTGACGTTAATGACGCTGAAGATGGTGATTGTGCTAATGATGCCGTAATGATGATGGCTGTAATGATGATGATGTGCTGTGATGTTATTGGTGGTGATGATGGCTGTAGTTGTGGTGGTGGGGTGGGGGATGAGTGGGGGGAGGGGTGCCGCGTCACTGCGGTAGCGCGCTCTCTCTCCCGCTCTCTCTCTCTCTGTCCCGCTCTCTCTGTCCCGTCATTAACAGTCACGTGAGGAGAGAGCGTAGGAGGAAGAGGAGAGACGCAGAGAGAGCGAGAGAGAGAGAGAGCGAGGGAGAGAAGAAGAGAGCGAGAGAGGAGAGAGAGAGCGAGGAAGATGGCGCCCCAGCGAGGACTCAAGGCGGTGGTGGGAGAGAGTGAGTGGCACTCCGCCTCACAGCTGCGGTGATTGCGCGCGCTGGAGTGTCTGCGTGTGTGTGTGTGCATCCTGGTGTGTGTGTGTGTGTGCATCCTGGTGTGTGTGTGTGTGTGCATCCTGGTGTGTGTGTGTGTGTGCATCCTGGTGTGTGTGTGCATCCTGGTGTGTGTGTGCATCCTGGTGTGTGTGTGCATCCTGGTGTGTGTGCATCCTGGTGTGTGTGCATCCTGGTGTGTGTGTGTGTGCATCCTGGTGTGTGTGTGCATCCTGGTGTGTGTGTGCATCCTGGTGTGTGTGTGTGTGCATCCTGGTGTGTGTGTGTGTGTGTGTGCATCCTGGTGTGTGTGTGTGTGCATCCTGGTGTGTGTGTGTGTGTGTGCATCCTGGTGTGTGTGCATCCAGGTATGTGTGTGTGCATCTTGGTGTGTGTGTGTGTGTGTGTGCATCCTGGTGTGTGTGTGTGTGCATTATGGTGTGTGTGTGCATCCTGGTGTGTGTGTGTGCATCCTGGTGTGTGTGTGCATCCTGGTGTGTGTGTGTGTGCATCCTGGTGTGTGTGTGTGTGCATCCTGGTGTGTGTGTGTGTGCATCCTGGTGTGTGTGTGCATCCTGGTGTGTGTGTGTGCATCCTGGTGTGTGTGTGTGTATCCTGGTGTGTGTGTGTGTGTGCATCCTGGTGTGTGTGTGTGTGTGCATCCTGGTGTGTGTGTGTGTGCATCCTGGTGTGTGTGTGTGCATCCTGGTGTGTGTGTGTATCCTGGTGTGTGTGTGTGCATCCTGGTGTGTGTGTGTGCATCCTGGTGTGTGTGTGTGCATCCTGGTGTGTGTGTGTATCCTGGTGTGTGTGTGTGCATCCTGGTGTGTGTGTGCATCCTGGTGTGCATGGGATGTGTGGGGGGTGATGGTGTGTGTGTGGGATGATGTGTGTGTGGGAAGATGTGTGTGTGGGATGATGTGTGTGTGGGAAGATGTGTGTGTGTGTGTTGATGTGTGTGTGGATGATGTGTGTGTGTGGGTTGATGTGTGTGTGGATGATGTGTGTGTGTGGGTTGATGTGTGTGTGTGAATGATGTGTGTGTGTGTTGATGTGTGTGTGTGTTGCTGTGTGTGTGTGTGGGATGATGTGTGTGTGTGGATGATGTTTGTGGGTTGATGTGTATGTGTGTGAGATGATGTGTGTGTGTGTGGATAATGTTTGTGGGTTGATGTGTATGTGTGTGGGATGATGTGCGTGCGGATGATGTTTGTGGGTTGATGTGTGTGTGGGTTGATGTGTGTGTGTGTGTGTGGGTTGATGTGTTTGTGTGAATTATGTGTGTGTGAATGATGTATGTGTGAATGATGTGTGTGTGTGTGAATGATGTGTGTGTGAATGATGTGTGTGGATGGTATGTGTGTGTGTGGGATGATGTGTGCGTGTGTGTATGATGTGTGTGTGTAGGATGTGTGTGTGTGTGTGTGGATGATGTGTGTGTGTGGATTGATGTGTGTGTGGGATGATGTGTGTGTGTATGATGTGTGTGTGTGTCTATGCTGTGTGTGTGGGATAATGTGTGTGTGTGTATGATGTGTGTGTGGGATGATGTGTGTGGGTTGATGTGTGTGTGTGGGATGATGTGTGTGTGTGGGATGATGTGTATGTGTGGATGATGTGTGTGGATGATGTGTGTGTGTGGATTGATGTGTGTGTGGGATGATGTGTGTGTGTATGATGTGTGTGTGTGTCTATGCTGTGTGTGTGGGATAATGTGTGTGTGTGGGATGATGTGTGTGTGTGTATGATGTGTGTGTGGGATGATGTGTGTGGGTTGATGTGTGTGTGTGGGATGATGTGTGTGTGGGATGATGTGTATGTGTGGATGATGTGTGTGGATGATGTGTATGTGTAGTATGTGTGTGTATGATGTGTATGTGTGGGATGATGTGTGTTCATCTTGGTGTGAGGATGTGTGGGCTGGGGTGTGTGTATAATGTGGGAGCGGTAGTGTAGTGGTTAGCGCGCTGCGTTACGAACCTAGCGACCCAGGTTCGTTTCCCGATCACGGCCAACACCAGTGGAGATTATCTTAACCAGCGCTGGGCCTCCCCTAGGTCGACTCAGCATCAAATGAGTACCTGGTGCGATGTGTAAACATCGCTACGAGAGAGACAAAGGCGACCGGGTGTGGTTCTGGCCACCCACTCGCTAACAGCACTTGCCATAACAGTCTGTTCAGGCTATACGTGGGATCTTTGTATTTGTGTGTGTGTATGGATGGTGTGTATGGATGGTGTGTGTGTGACGGTGTGTGTATGGATGATGTGTGTGTGTGTGGATGATGTGTGTGTTACGGTGTGTGTGTTACGGTGTGTGTGTGACGGTGTGTGTGTGACGGTGTGTGTGTGTGATGGTGTGTGCCTGGGTGTGCGGAGGGGTGGTGCAGTGATTAACTCGCTCCGCTACGAACCGAATTCGATTGCCATTCCACGTCCCACGTACAACACCAGTGACGATTATCTGAAGCGGTGTTGGGCCTCCCCTAGGTCGCTGGTGCAGTGCGTAGTAAACATCGCCACTGGGAAGACAAAGACGGCCGGGCGTGGTGCCGGCCACCCACTCCCTCGTGTGCCGTGCCGGCCTTCATAGGTGCTGCTCGCTAACAGCACTTGCCCCTACAGTCTGTTAAGGCTATAGGGGGGATTTTTGTCTTTGTGGGTGATGAATACGTGAGGAGCGATCAGCGCACTGCGCTCCGAACCCGGACCACCCGAGTTCGATTCCCGCTCACGGTGAATCGAACTCGCGTGACGATTGTGTGGGCCTCACCCTAGGTCGACTCAGCCTCAGCTGGTCAACCGGCGCGGTGCGTTGTAAACATCGACACTGAAGAGACAAAGGCGACCGGGCGAGCTGCTGGCCACGCCGCCCTCTCGTGTGCCACAGTGCCGGATCGGTGCGGCTACTCGCTCCTCACGGCACTTGCCCCGCCTGCCCGTTGAGGCTACGCGGGGAGTCTTTGTCTTTGTTTTGCTCGTGGACGTGCGCGCGCCGTGGGATCCATGCGCAGTGCAAGGGGGGGGGAGGGCAGCCTCACGGACGGGGAGGGGGGGGGCGTCTTAGTCACAGTTATTGATATCATCATCACCATCATCATCACCATCATCACCATCATCATCACCATCATCACCATCATCATCACCATCATCACCATCATCATCACCATCATCATCACCACCATCATCATCACCATCATCATCACCATCATCATCACCATCATCATCATCACCATCATCATCACCATCATCATCACCACCATCACTACCATCATCACCATCATCATCATCACCACCATCATCATCACCACCATCATCATCATCACCATCATCATCACCATCGTCATCACCATCATCACCATCATCATCACCATCATCATCACCATCGTCATCACCATCGTCATCTCCATCATCATCATCACCATTATCATCACCATCGTCATCACCATCTTCATCACCATCTTCATCACCATCATCATCACCATCATCACCACCATCATCACCACCATCATCACCATCATCATCACCATCATCATCATCACCATCATCACCATCATCACCATCACCATCATCATCACCATCATCACCATCATCACCATCATCACCACCACCATCATCATCATCACCACCATCATCATCATCATCACCATCATCATCACCATCACCACCATCATCATCACCACCATCATCATCACCACCATCATCATCATCACCATCATCACCACCATCATGACCATCATCATCACCATCATCATCACCATCACCACCATCATCATCATCACCATCATCATCACCATCATCATCACCATCATCATCACCACCATCATCATCACCACCATGATCATCATCACCATCATCACCACCATCATCATCATCACCATCATCACCACCATCATGACCATCATGACCATCATCATCACCACCATCATCATCATCATCACCACCATCATCACCACCATCATCATCGTCACCATCATCATCGTCACCATAATCATTGTCACCATCCTCATCATCGTCACCATAATCATCACCATCATCACCACCATCATCATCATCACCATCATCATCACCACCATCACCACCATCATCATCGTCACCATCATCACCACCATCATCGTCACCATCATCACCACCATCATCATCATCACCATCATCATCACCATCATCACCATCACCATCATCATCGTCACCATCATCACCACCATCATCGTCACCATCATCACCACCATCATCATCGTCACCATCATCACCACCATCATCGTCACCACCATCACCACCATCATCACCATCATCAATCCAGCAGTGGATCGACCACGGCTGGCGATGCCCCCCGTGACGTCCCCCACGGCTTCCCTTTCATGGCGATGTTCTGCGCATGCGCAGTCGGCACACGCTGGCACGGCAAAGATCCCCCGTATAGCCCGAACAAACATTTGGGGCAAGTGCTGTTGGCGAGTGCAGCGCGAACCACTGCGCCATCGCCAGCGACCCCCCCAGACAAAGATCCCCCGTGTAGCCTTTACAGACTGTTGAGGCAAGTGCTGTTGGCGAGCGACCATGAAGGCCGGCACGCGAGGGGGTGTGTGGCCAGGACCACGCCCGGCCGCCTTTGTCTCCCCAGTGGCGATGTTTACACACCACACCAGGTACTGATTTGAGGCTGAGTCAACCTAGGGGAGGCCCGGGACCGGTTCAGATAATCGTCACTGGTGTTGGCCGTGAGCGGGAATCGAACCCGTGTCGCCAGGTTCATAGCGCAGCGTAGCGCTAACCGCTACACTACACGTGTACAGACACAGTGACACACACAGTGACACACACACTGTGACACACACTGTGACACACACTCAGTGACACACAGTGACACGCACACAGTGACACACAGTGACACACAGTAACACACACACAGTTACACACACACAGTGACAAACACACAGTGACACACACACAGCGACACAGAGTGACACACACAAAGTGACACACAGTGACACACACAGTGACACACACACAGTGACGCACACACAGTGACACACAGTGACACGCACACAGTGACACACAGTGACACACACACAGTGACACACAGTGACACACACACACAGTGACACACAGTGACACACACACAGTGACACACAGTGACACACACACAGTGACACACAGTGACACACACACGGTGACACACAGTGACACACACAGTGACACACACAGTGACACACACACAGTGACACACAGTGACACACAGTGACACACACAGTGACACACACACAGTGACACACAGTGACACACACACAGTGACACACAGTGACACACACACAGTGACACACACGCAGTGACACACAGTGACACACACAGTGACACACAGTGGCACGTGTGTGTGTGTGTGACTCTGTGTGTGCACGCAGAGATCATGACCGAGGTGATTAAGAAGGTGAAGAAGCGAGGAGAATGGAAGGCAAGTACCATCATCACCATCATCAGCACCGCATCATCACCACCATCACTATCATCACTATCACCGCCATTACCGCCATCACCACCATCACCACCATCATTACGATCACCACCACCATCACTATCACCACCATCATCACCATCACCACCATCATCACAGCATAATCACCACCATCATCACCACCATCACTATTATCACCATCACCACCATCACCATCATCACCATCACCACCTTCACCACTATCACCACCATCACCACCTTCACCACCATCACCATCATCACCACCACCACCATCATCACCATCATCACCATCATTATCATCACCATTACCATTACCACCATCATCACCATCACTATGATCACCATCATCACAGCATCATCACCTTCATCACAGCATCATCACCATCATCACAGCATCATCACCATCATCACAGCATCATCATCACCATCATCACCACCATCATCACAGCATCACCACCACCATCACCACCACCATCATCACCACCATCATCACAGCATCACCACCATCACCACCATCATCACTGCATCACCACCATCATCACAGCATCACTACCATCACAGCATCACTACCATCACCATCATCACAGCATCACCACCATCATCACCGCCATCATCACCATCGCCGCCATCATCACCGCCATCATCACAGCATCACCACCATCATCACAGCATCACCACCATCACCGCCATCATCACCACCGTCATCACAGCATCACCACCATCATCACCACCATCATCACAGCATCACCACCATCATCACAGCATCACCACCATCACCACCATCATCACAGCATCACCACCATCACCGCCACCATCACCGCCATCATCGCCACCATCATCACCACCATCATCACCACCATCATCACATCATCACCACCTTCGGCTGGTTGGTGTCCAGCCAAATCACGGACCTCACTTCTGTAGATGCCGACTTACTAAGAGGCACGGCCACTCACGTCTCGCTGGCTATGAGATGTTAACTCCTCGCCTGGTACACAGGAGGTCGTGGCTTCGATCCCAACCCTGACTACGTCTGCCGCTGTATATTTGGAGTCTGCGTGTCTCTCTCTCTCTCATCATCACGGTGGCTAGGAGATGTTAACTACCTCTCCTGGTACACAGGAGGTCGTGGCTTCGATCCGGACCCTGACTCCGCCTGCTGCTGTGTATTTGGAGTCTGCGTGTCTCTCATCATCAATCATCATCATCACGGTGGCTAGGAGATGTTAACTACCTCACCTGGTACACAGGAGGTCTCTCTCTCCACGTGCTCGTGTGGAGATGTTTCTCTCCGGCACCACATTTAGAATCAACGTCAGCGTTCAGAGGAATTCGGCTGCTGTTAGAAATGTCCACAGGACGATGACGATGATGATGGTGGTGATGACGATGATGATGGTGGTGATGGTGATGATAATGAGGATGGTGACGATGATGATGATGATGGTGATGATGATGGTCATGATGATGAGGATGTCGACGATGATGATGATGGTGATGGTGGTGATGATGATGATGATGGTGGTGATGATGATGGTGATGGTGGTGATGATGGTGGTGATGATGGTGATGATAATGGTGATGATGATGGTGATGATAATGGTGATGATGGTGGTGATGATGATGATGGTGGTGATGGTGGTGATGATGGTGGTGATGATGATGGTGGTGATGATGATGATGATGGTGGTGGTGGTGATGATGATGATGATTATGGTGATGATGGTGGTGATGGTGATGATGATGGTGGTGATGATGATGGTGGTGATGATGATGGTGGTGATGATGATTGTGGTGATGATGATGATAGTGATGATGGTGATGATGATGGTGGTGATGATGGTGGTGGTGATGATGATGGTGATGATGGTGGTGATGGTGATGATGATGGTGGTGATGATGATGATGGTGGTGATGGTGATGATGATGGTGATGATGATGGTGGTGATGATGATTGTGGTGATGATGATGGTGATGGTGATGATGATGATGGTGATGATGATGGTGATGATGGTGAAGGTGGTGATGGTGATGATGGTGGTGATGATGATAATGAGCTGCCGCTTTATCGGGGCTGTAATCTCTGATGGTCGCTACTGTTAAAAGAGCTACGCAGCTCAGCGGGGCCTGGTACCCGGCAGAAAACAACAACAACAACAATCATCATCATCACCATCATCATCGTCGTCGTCGTCGTGGCCGGGACTTCGATGCTCTTGCACTCACCGAGACATAAACACTTCCACTCAACGCTGCCACCCCGGAGCCCATAACCACCACCACCTCCTCCTCCTCCACCTCCTCTTCCTCCACCTCCTCTTCTTCCACCTACTCCTCCTCCACCACCTCCTCCTCCAACTCCTCCACCTCCTCCACCACCTCCACTTCCTCCTCCTCCAACTCCTCCACCTCCTCCACCACCTCCACTTCCTCCTTCTCCATCTCCTCCACCTCAACACGCTCTCCATCAACAACACGCTCCCCATCAACAACACGCTCCCCTTCAACAACACGCTCCCCATCAACAACACGCTCCCCATCAACAACACGCTCCCCATCAACAACACGCTCCCCTTCAACAACACGCTCCCCATCAACAACACGCTCCCCTTCAACAACACGCTCCCCATCAACAACACGCTCCCCATCAACAACACGCTCCCCATCAACAACACGCTCCCCTTCAACAACACGCTCCCCATCAACAACACGCTCCCCATCAACAACACGCTCCCCATCAACAACACGCTCCCCATCAACAACACGTTCCCTTCAACAACACGCTCCCCATCAACAACACGCTCCCCATCAACAACACGCTCCCCATCAACAACACGCTCCAAATCAACAACACGTTCCCCATCAACAACACGCTTCCCTTCAACAACACGCTCCCCTTCAACAACACGCTCCCCATCAACAACACGCTCCCCATCAACAACACGCTCCCCATCAACAACACGCTCCCCATTAACAACACGCTCCCCATCAACAACACGCTCCCCATCAACAACACGCTCCCCATCAACAACACGCTCCCCATCAACAACACGCTCCAAATCAACAACACGCTCCCCATCAACAACACGCTCCCCATCAACAACACGCTCCCCATCAACAACACGCTCCAAATCAACAACACGCTCCCCATCAACAACACGCTCCCCATCAACAACACGCTCCCCATCAACAACACGCTCCCCATCAACAACACGCTCCCCATCAACAACACGCTCCCCATCAACAACACGCTCCCCATCAACAACACGCTCCCCATCAACAACACGCTCCCCGTCAACAACACGTTCCCCATCAACAACACGCTCCCCATCAACAACACGCTCCCCATCAACAACACGCTCCAAATCAACAACACGCTCCCCATCAACAACACGCTCCCCATCAACAACACGCTCCCCATCAACAACACGCTCCCCATCAACAACACGCTCCCCATCAACAACACGCTCCCTGTCTACAACACGCTCCCCATCAACAACACGCTCCCCATCAACAACGTCTCTCGTCTCGAGAGATTTCGTCTTCCCCTTCATCCCCTGACTCAGCACCCGGCTTTGCCCTCTCCTCCAGTGCACTTGGCCACCCCACACCCCGCCGTCTGCGCTGTTGAACGCGGAATGTCCCCCCCCCCTCCTCCCCTCCCCGTCCCGTGCCGCAGGTGCTCGTGGTCGACCACTTGAGCATGCGAATGCTGTCGGCCTGCTGCCGCATGACGGACATCATGAGCGAGGGCATCACGAGTGAGTAGCCCCGCGCGTGTCGAGGGCGCACGGGCGAGGCCTGGAGCACGCGTGGTGATAGAGGGGCTCTACATACAGACAGCACGTACAGAGTCAAACACACACGCGAATGTTTAACTTGCATAGTAAAGTAAATGTATTTTTTCGTATGCTACACGGCCAGATAATACGACAAATCTCTAACCTTAAACGCCCGGTCGTTCATAAAAGTCGAAGGCGGTATAGTACTATAGTAGTAGAGCAAGTGCAGAATCACTGAACCGGAATTGATAGCTTGAGAGCATTTAGCGCGGGGTCCTTGAAAGTGCGGGGCCCGTAGCTACTTGTGTAGCTGCTGCACGTGTAGCTGCTGCTGCACGTGTAGCTACTTGTGTAGCTACTACTGTGTAGCTGTTGCCTGTGTAGCTACCTGTGTAGCTGCTACTTGTGTAGCTACTACTTGTGTAGCTACTACTGTGTAGCTACTACTAGTGTAGATACTTGTGTAGCTTCTACTGTGTAGCTGCTGCTTGTGTAGCTACTGTGTAGCTACTGTGTAGCTACTACTGTGTAGCTACTGCCTGTGTAGCTGCTGCCTGTGTAGCTGCTACTTGTGTAGCTACACGTGTAGCTACTACTTGTGTAGCTACTTGTGTAGCTACTACTGTGTAGCTGTTGCCTGTGTAGCTACCTGTGTAGCTGCTACCTGTGTAGCTGCTACTTGTGTAGCTGCTGCTTGTGTATCTACTACTTGTGTAGCTACTACTGTGTAGCTACTACTTGTGTAGATACTTGTGTAGCTTCTACTGTGTAGCTGCTGCCTGTGTAGCTACTTGTGTAGCTACTACTGTGTAGCTGCTGCCTGTGTAGCTACCAGTATAGCTGCTACTTGTGTAGCTACTACTGTGTAGCTACTGTGCAGCTGCTGCTGCTTGTGCAGTGTTGAGTCTATGGGCAGTGTTGAGTCTATGGGTAGTGTTGAGTCTATGGGTAGTGTTGAGTCTATAGGTAGTGTTGAGTCTATGGGTAATGTGTACTGTACGTGTATGTGTGCTATGTACTGTGTGTGTACTGTGCGTGTGCTGTGTGTACTGTGTGTGTGCTGCGTGTGTTGTGTACTGTGTATGTACTGTGTGAGTACTGTGTGTTCTGCGTGTACTGTGTACTGTGTGTGTGTGCGTGCTGTGTGTACTGCGTGTGTACTGTGTGTGTACTGCGTGCTGTGTGTGTACTGTGTGTGCGTACTGCCTGTACTGTGTGTGTACTGTGTGTACTGTGTGTGTATTGTGTACTGTGTGCGTATTGTGTGTGTGTACTGTGTGTGTACTGTGTGTATTGTGTATTGTGTGTGTACTGTGTGTGTGTGTACTTTGTGTATTGTGTGCTGTGTGTGTACTGTGTGTATGCACTGTGTGTGTACTGTGTGTATGCACTGTGTGTGTACTGTGTGTACTGTGTGTGTGTACTGTGTGTGTATGTACTGTGTGTGTACTGTGTGTGTACTGTGTGTACTGTGTGTGTACTGTGTGTGTGTACTGTGTGTCTACTGTGTGTGTACTGTGTGTGTACTGTGTGTGTGTACCGTGTGTGTGTGTGTGTACTGTGTGTGTGTACCGTGTGTGTGTGTGTGTACTGTGTGTGTGTACTGTGTGTGTACTGTGTGTGTGTACTGTGTGTGTGTACTGTAGTCGTGGAGGATCTGCACAAGGTGAGGGAGACGCTGCCCACTCTGGAGGCTGTCTACCTCATCACGCCCACCGAAAAGGTGAGCACCTCATCACGCATTATACTCACCTCATCACACTCACCTCATCACGCATCACACTCACCTCATCACACTCACCTCATCACGCCCACCGAAAAGGTGAGCACCTCATCACGCATCATACTCACCTCATTACACTCACCTCATCACGCATCACACTCACCTCATCACACTCACCTCATCACGCCCACCGAAAAGGTGAGCACCTCATCACGCATCATACTCACCTCATCACACTCACCTCATCACGCATCATACTCACCTCATCACGCTCACCTCATCACACTCACCTCATAACATCATCACACTCACCTCATCACACTCACCTCATCACACTCACATTATCACACTCACCTCATCACACTCACCTCATCACACTCACATCATCACACTGACCTCACCACACTCACCTCATCACGTATCACACTCACCTCATCACGCTCAGCTCATCACACTCACCTCATCACAATATCATACTCACTTCATCACACTCACATCATCACACTCACCTCATCACACTCACCTCATCACGCATCACACTCAACTTATCACGCTCACCTCATGACACATCACACTCACCTCATCACGCTCACCTCATCACGCATCACGCTCACCTCATCACACTCACATCATCACACTCACCTCATCACACTCACCTCATCAAGCTCACCTCATCACGCAGCACACTCACCTCATCACACATCACACTAACCTCATCACACTCACCTCATCAAGCTCACCTCATCACGCATCACACTCACCTCATCACGCATCACGCTCACCTCATCACACTCACATCATCACACTCACCTCATCACACTCACCTCATCAAGCTCACCTCATCACGCATCACACTCACCTTATCACGCTCACCTCATCACGCTGACCTCATCACACATCACACTCACCTCATCACGCATCACACTCACCTCATCACACTCACCTCATCACGCATCACGCTCACCTCATCACACCCACCTCATCAAGCTCACCTCATCACGCATCACACTCACCTCATCACGCTCACCTCATCACATATCACACTCACCTCATCACACTCACCTCATCAAGCTCACCTCATCACGCATCACACTCACCTCATCACACATCACACTAACCTCATCACGCTCACGTCATCAAGCTCACCTAATCACGCATCACACTCACCTCATCACACTCACCTCATCACACTCACCTCATCACACTCACCTCATCACACTCACCTCATCACGCATCACACTCACCTCATCACGCTCACCTCATCACACTCACCTCATCACGCATCACACTCACCTCATCACACTCACCTCATCACACTCACCTCATCACACTCACCTCGTCACGCATCACTCTCAGCTCATTTAACACGTGGGGAGGGATGGGGGAGGGACCGGGAGCTATGGTGGAGGGGGCGTTGGGGGAGGGGCCGGGGGGGGTGCTGGGGGAGGGGCCGGGGGGGCGTTGGGGGAGGGGCCGGGGGGTGCTGGGGGATTGGCCGGGGGGTGCTGGGGGAGGGGCTGGAGGGGGAGGGGCCGGAGGGTGCTGGGGGAGGGGCTGGAGGGGGAGGGGCCGGGGGAGGTCGTGTTCCACTCATCCGGGATTATCTCATTACCGATTCCGGCTTGAGAGGGGGCTAGGGGAGGGAGAAGGAGAGTGGGGAGGGAGAGGGGTAGGGGAGGGAGAAGTAGAGGGGGGAGGGAGAGGGGGGTGGGGGAGGGAGAGGGGGTGGGGGAGGGAGAGGGGGATAGGGGAGGGAGAGGGGGGAGGGAGAGGGGGTAGGGGAGGGAGAGGGGGGTAGGGGAGGGAGAGGGAGAGGGGGGTAGGGGAGCGGTAGGGGAGAGGGAGGAGGGAGAGAGGGGGTAGTGGAGAGAGGGAGGGGAGAGGGGGGGTAGGGGAGAGGGAGAGGGGGGGAGAGGGAGAGGGGGAGGGGGGTTTACTAGGCCCCAGAGAGGGAGGGAGGGGGATCCCATTAGGGGTAGGGGAGAGGAATCATTTGGGCCCCAGGAGGAGGAGGAGGTGAATGGGAGCTCGGTGATGTCAGCGCTTGACACGGGCGGCGCCTCGGGGAGGGCTGCGTCCAGCAGTGGATGGAGCGTGGCGAATGACGACGACGGTCTCGCTGCAAGGGCCACGGGTGAGTCGTGGCCAGTGGTCGAGGACGAATCGATGATGGAGGAGGTGGAGGAGGTGGAGGAGGAGGTGGAGGAGGTGGAGGAGGTGGCACGAGGGGGCGGAGCTGCTGCCGGGATTGTTTCCAAACTCACCACGGTGCTTGTGCCAGGCTGGGTGCACTTTGAGGTCGTGCGCAGCGTCGAAGGCTCGCTGCTGTCAGGAGGTCACGGGACAGACCCAGCAGGTGCCACGGGTCGACTGACTGAGATGACTGGCTGGTGCACCACCTGTGCCCCCTACTGTGCCAGCTTTCTGTGCTTTAGCCACCCGGCGCTCCGCTCGTTGTTGTGAGCGTCGCTCCTCCGCCCTCCGTTGTTGTTGGAGGGCGACTGCCTCCAACTGCCCAGTAGCCTCACTGTGCACCTAGCCTGGCACCACCCCCAGTAGTAGCGTCCTTCACGAGCCTCCTCCACGGAGACCGATCTTGACACCGCTGGTACCAGTCATCGGCAAGTCCACTCAGCTCTACGTCCTCCTGTCCACATCACTCCATCTCTTCTCTAGCCCGTGCCGCGCCCGCTTAGCCCCCTCAATCCGGCCGAACAAAATCTGTTTAGGCATGCGGTGGCTGGGCATGCGGGCTACATGACCCAGCCAACGCAGCCTTGCCTGCCGAAGGAGCTTACCGATGGGACTTTGTCCAGATCTTTAAAGGATTTGTGAGCTCCTCACACAATCCAGCCTGGTTAATCCCAGGATAGATCGTAGGCAGGCCAGCCTAAATGTTTCTAACCGGCTAAGATGTTCGATTGGGGAGGGCCACGTTTCGCAAGCGTAGAGAAGGGAGGGAATGACTGTGGCCGAGAAGACCTGAAGCTTAGTGCGGAGCGACAGACCAGGTAGCTTCCACACAGCGTTACGTAGCCGACGTAAAGATAATTCCGCTTGACTGATTCGGACCTCTGCTGTCAAACCGGAGCACACTGCCCAGGTATGGAAAACTCTCCACAAATGCTCCATCACCAATGGGGAGCTGTGGGGGTGGAGTGTTTGATGACAAAATACCCACGCAGGTGCTTCGTGTTAGTGGGTCTGATGATCAGGCCCCATTGCTTAGTGGCACGTTCCAGGTTCGACAGCAGGCTCTCCAACTCCTCAGTGAGCAGCAATCACCAGATCATTCGCATACATAACACGATTGACCAATGGGGAGCTATCCCTTGACCTCATCCGGACACAGCCTACCATTGTAGCTGGACCAGATGGTAATTCCACTGGTACATCCATGGGACGCTCTTGAACGCCGTGGTCGAAATAGGGGTTAAACAGTGAAGGAGCCAGAGGGCAACTCTGTCGCACCCCGAGGTGAACAGAGATTGGCTGTGACTCCTGGCCACGCAGCTTTAGCTGGAGGCTCGCCACCACCATAGGGGGGGGGGGGGGGGGGTTCTTGATGATTGTGAGCAGAGGGTCAGGGACCCCGAAATCACGAGGAACATTCCAGAACCGTGGCCTTTTGATGGTACCATAGGCCACGACCAGGTCAATAAAGCGAAGATGTCGGCCCCGTTGGAATTCCCCACACCGCCGCTTTTGCACAGAGAACGCGGTGTCTGTAAACGTTTTGTTTAACCAGGCACGGCTCGACTGCGTCGGGGAGCTCTTCTTCAGAAGCGGCCTGGCCATCACAAATTATAGCTCAGCGACGCGGCTTGTTTGACGCTTGGAAATGTATGGCAGCAGCCAAATACTCTAAGTGCACGATTCTCAATGTGGAGGGAATAACCGGAGGACCCGGAGACAAATCCACGCGACAACGGGGAGAGAGAGAGAGACACGCAAACTCCAAATAGCAGCAGCAGCAGGCGTCAGGGTGGGGGTGGTGGTAGGGGGGGTGGTGGTAGTGGGGGTGGTGGTAGTGGGGGTAGTGGCGGTGGTGGTGGTAGTGGTGGTGGTAGTGGGGGTGGTGGTAGTGGGGGTGGTGGTGGTGGGGGGTGGTAGTGGGGGGGTGGTGGTAGTGGGGGTGGTGGGGGGTGGTAGTGGGGGGGGGTAGTGGTAGTGGTGGTGGTAGTGGGGGTGGTGGTGGTGGGGGGTGGTAATGGGGGTGGTGGTGGTGGTGGTAGTGGGGGTGGTGGTGGTGGTGGTGGTAGTGGGGGTGGTGGTGGTGGTAGTGGGGGTGGTGGTGGTGGTGGTAGTGGTGGTGGGGGTGGTGGTGGGGGGTGGTGGTGGGGGTGGTGGTGGTGGTGCTGCTGCTGCAAGTGACATCTTTCGATGGGGTTAAAAGAGAGTGACTCGTGACCGCATGCCGCATGTCCTCAGCAACTCGTGCCCACCGCTCACCCTCGCAGCGCCGCACATCGCTCCGAAGGCCGCCCCCTGTATAGTCCACCCCCTGTATAGTCCACCCCCTGTATAGTCCACCCCCTGTATAGTCCACTCCCTGGGCTATACAGGATGTGGACTATACAGGGGGTAGACTATACAGGGGGTGGACTATACAGGGGGTGGATTATACAGGGGTGGACTATACAGGGGTGGACTATGCAGGGGGTGGACTATACAGGGGGTGGGCTATACAGGAGGTGGACTATACAGGAGGTGGACTATACAGGGGTGGACTATACATGGGTGGACTATACATGGGGTGGACTATACAGGGGTGGACTATACAGGGGTGGACTATACAGGGGGTGGACTATACAGGAGGTGGACTATACAGGTGGTGGACTATACAGGAGGTGGACTATACAGGGGGTGGACTATACAGGGGGTGGACTATACAGGGGTGGACTATACAGTGGTGGACTATACAGGGGGTGGACTATACAGGGGGTGGACTATACAGGGGGTGGGCTATACAGGAGGTGGACTATACAGGTGGTGGACTATACAGGAGGTGGACTATACAGGGGGTGGACTATACATGGGTGGACTATGCATGGGGTGGACTATGCAGGGGGTGGACTATACAGGGGGTGGACTATACAGGGGGTGGACTATACAGGAGGTGGACTATACAGGGGGTGGACTATACATGGGTGGACTATACATGGGGTGGACTATACAGGGGGTGGACTATACAGAGGGTGGACTATACAGGAGGTGGACTATACAGGGGGTGGACTATACAGGAGGTGGACTATACAGGGGTGGACTATACAGGGGTGGACTATACAGGGGGTGGACTATACAGGGGGTGGGCTATACAGGAGGTGGACTATACAGGTGGTGGACTATACAGGAGGTGGACTATACAGGGGGTGGACTATACAGGGGTGGACTATACAGGGGTGGACTATACAGGGGGTGGACTATACAGGGGGTGGGCTATACAGGAGGTGGACTATACAGGTGGTGGACTATACAGGAGGTGGACTGTACAGGGGGTGGACTATACATGGGTGGACTATACATGGGGTGGACTATACAGGGGGTGGACTATACAGGGGGTGGACTATACAGGAGGTGGACTATACAGGGGGTGGACTATACAGGAGGTGGACTATACAGTGGTGGACTATACAGGGGTGGACTATACAGGGGTGGACTATACAGGGGGTGGACTATACAGGGGGTGGGCTATACAGGAGGTGGACTATACAGGTGGTGGACTATACAGGAGGTGGACTATACAGGGGGTGGACTATACAGGGGGTGGACTATACAGGGGGTGGACTATACAGGAGGTGGACTATACAGGGTGTGGCCTATACAGGAGGTGGACTATACAGGAGGTGGACTATACAGGGTGTGGACTATACAGGAGGTGGACTATACATGGGGTGGACTATACAGGGGGTGGACTATACAGGGGGTGGACTATACAGGGCGTGGGCTATACAGTGGTGGACTATACAAGAGGTGGACTATACAGGGGTGGACTATACAGGAGGTGGACTATACAGGGGGTGGACTATACAGGAGGTGGACTATACAGGGGGTGGACTATACAGGGGTGGACTATACAGGGGTGGACTATACAGGAGGTGGACTATACAGGGGTGGACTATACACGGGTGGACTATACAGGGGGTGTACTATACAGAGGGTGGACTATACAGGAGGTGGAATATACAGGGGGTGGACTATACAGGAGGTGGACTATACAGGGGGTGGACTATACAGAGGGTGGACTATACAGGGGGTGGACTATACGGGGGTGGACTATACAGGGGGTGAACTATACAGGAGGTGGACTATACAGGAGGTGGACTATACAGGGGGTGGACTATACAGGGTGAGTGCGGACGGCCAAAGCAAGGCGATCCGAGTCACCGAGTGACTCTGATCGTGACGAGTCTCGTGGAGGGGGGGGTGGGGTGGGGGCCATCTGCCAGGTCCCCCGCCCCTCCTCTAAGTCCCATCGCCCTTGGCAGGGCAGTGGTGATTAGAGCAACAACAACAACAGCAGCAGCAACAGCTACAACAGCAGTGGCATTAACCACATCAACAACAACAACAGCAGCAGCAGCTACAACAGCAGTGGCATTAACCACATCAACAACAACAACAGCAGCAGCAGCTACAACAGCAGTGGCATTAACCACATCAACAACAGCAACAATTACGCTGCGCTACGAACCCGGCGACACGAGTTCGATTTCTGCTGCAACGCGAACCGGTCCTGGGCCTCCCCTAGGTCGACTCGGCCTCAAATGAGTACCCGGTGCGGTGTGGAGTAAACATCGCCGCTGGGAAGACAAAGGCGGCCGGGCGTGGTGCTGACCACCCACCCCCTCGTGTGCCACAGCGCCGGCCTTCGTAGGCCCTCGTAGGCCCTGCTACTCGCTGCGAACAGCACTTGCCCCAACAGTCTGCTAAGGCTACACGCGGACCTTTGCCTGTGGTGTGTGCACGCAGTCCGTGTCGGTGCTCATCGACGACTTCATGGACGCCATGAACTACCGCTACCGCGCAGCGCACGTGTTCTTCACTGATGGTGAGTGTACCATCACTCACCATCACTCACGTGTTCTTCACTGATGGTGAGTGTACCATCACTCACCATCACTCACCATCACTCACGTGTTCTTCACTGATGGTGAGTGTACCATCACTCACCATCACTCACCATCACTCACCATCACTCACCATCACTCACAAACACTCACCAACACGTGTTCTTCACTGATGGTGAGTGTACCATCACTCACCATCACTCACGTGTTCTTCACTGATGGTGAGTGTACCATCACTACTCACCATCACTCACCATCACTCACCATCACCCACGTGTTCTTCACTGATGGTGAGTGTACCATCACTCACCATCACTCACGTGTTCTTCACTGATGGTGAGTGTACCATCACTCACCATCACTCACCATCACTCACCATCACCCACGTGTTCTTCACTGATGGTGAGTGTACCATCACTCACCATCACTCACGTGTTCTTCACTGATGGTGAGTGTACCATCACTCACCATCACTCACCATCACTCACGTGTTCTTCACTGATGGTGAGTGTACCATCACTCACCATCACTCACCATCACTCACCATCACTCACCATCACTCACAAACACTCACCAACACGTGTTCTTCACTGATGGTGAGTGTACCATCACTCACCATCACTCACGTGTTCTTCACTGATGGTGAGTGTACCATCACTACTCACCATCACTCACCATCACTCACCATCACTCACAAACACTCACCAACACGTGTTCTTCACTGATGGTGAGTGTACCATCACTCACCATCACTCACCATCACTCACCATCACTCACGTGTTCTTCACTGATGGTGAGTGTACCATCACTCACCATCACTCACCATCACTCACCATCACTCACCAACACTACTCACGTGTTCTTCACTGATGGTGAGTGTACCATCACCACTCACCATCACTCACCATCACTCACCATCACTCACCATCACTCACCAACACTACTCACGTGTTCTTCACTGATGGTGAGTGTACCATCACTACTCACCATCACTCACCATCACTCACCATCACTCACCATCACTCACGTGTTCTTCACTGATGGTGAGTGTACCATCACTACTCACCATCACTCACCATCACTCACGTGTTCTTCACTGATGGTGAGTGTACCATCACTACTCACCATCACTCACCATCACTCACCATCACTCACGTGTTCTTCACTGATGGTGAGTGTACCATCACTCACCATCACTCACGTGTTCTTCACTGATGGTGAGTGTACCATCACTCACCATCACTCACCATCACTCACGTGTTCTTCACTGATGGTGAGTGTACCATCACTCACCATCACTCACCATCACTCACCATCACTACTCACGTGTTCTTCACTGATGGTGAGTGTACCATCACTCACCATCACTCACCATCACTACTCACGTGTTCTTCACTGATGGTGAGTGTACCATCACTCACCATCACTCACCATCACTCACGTGTTCTTCACTGATGGTGAGTGTACCATCACCACTCACCATCACTCACCATCACTCACGTGTTCTTCACTGATGGTGAGTGTACCATCACTACTCACCATCACTCACCATCACGTGTTCTTCACTGATGGTGAGTGTACCATCACCACTCACCATCACTCACCATCACTCACGTGTTCTTCACTGATGGTGAGTGTACCATCACCACTCACCATCACTCACCATCACTCACGTGTTCTTCACTGATGGTGAGTGTACCATCACTACTCACCATCACTCACCATCACGTGTTCTTCACTGATGGTGAGTGTACCATCACTACTCACCATCACTACTCACCATCACTCACCATCACTCACCATCACTCACGTGTTCTTCACTGATGGTGAGTGTACCATCACCACTCACCATCACTCACCATCACTCACCATCACTCACGTGTTCTTCACTGATGGTGAGTGTACCATCACTACTCACCATCACTCAACATCACTCACGTGTTCTTCACTGATGGTGAGTGTACCATCACTACTCACCATCACTCACCATCACTCACTCACGTGTTCTTCACTGATGGTGAGTGTACCATCACTACTCACCATCACTCACCATCACTCACCATCACGTGTTCTTCACTGATGGTGAGTGTACCATCACTCACCATCACTCACCATCACGTGTTCTTCACTGATGGTGAGTGTACCATCACTCACCATCACTCACCATCACTCACGTGTTCTTCACTGATGGTGAGTGTACCATCACTTACCATCACTCACCATCACTACTCACGTGTTCTTCACTGATGGTGAGTGTACCATCACTCACCATCACTCACCATCACTCACCATCACTCACGTGTTCTTCACTGATGGTGAGCGTACCATCACTCACCATCACTCATCATCACGTGTTCTTCACTGATGGTGAGTGTACCATCACTCACCATCACTCACGTGTTCGTCACTGATGGTGAGTGTACCATCACTACTCACCATCACTCACCATCACTCACCAACACTCACCAACACTACTCACGTGTTCTTCACTGATGGTGAGTGTACCATCACTACTCACCATCACTCACCATCACTCACGTGTTCTTCACTGATGGTGAGTGTACCATCACTCACCATCACTCACCATCACTACTCACGTGTTCGTCACTGATGGTGAGTGTACCATCACTCACCATCACTCACTATCACTCACCATCACTCACGTGTTCTTCACTGATGGTGAGTGTACCATCACTCACCATCACTCACCATCACTCACCATCACTCACGTGTTCTTCACTGATGGTGAGTGTACCATCACTCACCATCACTCACCATCATTCACCAACACGTGTTCTTCACTGATGGTGAGTGTACCATCACTCACCATCACTCACCATCACTCACCACCACCCACGTGTTCTTCACTGATGGTGAGTGTACCATCACTCACCATCACTCACCATCACCCACGTGTTCTTCACTGATGGTGAGTGTACCATCACTACTCACCATCACTCACTATCACTCACCATCACTACTCACGTGTTCTTCACTGATGGTGAGTGTACCATCACTCACCATCACTCACCATCACTCACGTGTTCTTCACTGATGGTGAATGTACCATCACTCACCATCACTCACCATCACTCACCATCACTCACCATCATTCACCAACACGTGTTCGTCACTGATGGTGAGTGTACCATCACTACTCACCATCACTCACCATCACTCACCAACACGTGTTCGTCACTGATGGTGAGTGTACCATCACTACTCACCATCACTCACCATCACTCACCAACACCACTCACGTGTTCTTCACTGATGGTGAGTGTACCATCACTACTCACCATCACTCACCATCACTCACCAACACTACTCACGTGTTCTTCACTGATGGTGAGTGTACCATCACTCACCATCACTCACCATCACTCACCATCACTCACGTGTTCTTCACTGATGGTGAGTGTACCATCACTACTCACCATCACTCACCATCACTCACCATCACTCACGTGTTCTTCACTGATGGTGAGTGTACCATTACTACTCACCATCACTCACCATCACTCACCATCACTCACGTGTTCTTCACTGATGGTGAGTGTACCATCACTACTCACCATCACTCACCATCACCACTCACGTGTTCTTCACTGATGGTGAGTGTACCATCACTACTCACCATCACTCACCATCACTCACCATCACTCACCAACACCACTCACGTGTTCTTCACTGATGGTGAGTGTACCACCATCACTCACCATCACTCACCATCACTCACCACCACCACTCACCACCACCACTCACCACCACTGACCACTAACCACAACTCACCACCACCACTCCCGTGTTCTTCACTGATGGTTAGTGTGCCACCGCTCACCACCACCACTCACCACCACCGCTCACCACCACCGCTCACCACCACTCACCGCTCACCACCACCGCTCACACAACCACTGCTCACCACTACTCACCCACCCACAGCCCTTACCACTCACCACTACCGCTCACCACTACTCACAGTCTTTCTCACCACTACTCACCCACCTAGCCAATCACTCCTCACCACCACTTACCCACCAACAGCCCTCCTCACCACCACTTACCCACCAACAGCCCTCCTCACCACCACTCACCCATAACCGCTCACCACCTACTCCATCACTGCTCACCACCTGCTCACCGCTTGAGCGCTTGACCCTCCCCACGCCCTCACGACCCCTCTGTTGACCCCGTGACCCTCCCCACGACCTATGTTGACCCCGCGACCTCGTGACCCTGCCCACGTCCTCCTGACCCCTCGGTTGACCTCGTGACCCTCCCCACGACATCTGTTGACCGCCATGACCTCGTGACCCTCCCCACAACCTCGCGACCTCTCCGGTGACCCCGTGACCTCTGCCCCCCGTGACGCCAGCGTGCCCTGACGCGCTGTTCAACAAGCTGGTCAAGTCCAAGTGCTCCAAGGCCGTGAAGACGCTGCAGGAGATCAACATCGCCTTCCTGCCCTACGAGTCGCAGGTGCGCTCAGCACACCCTCGCTCACCAACCCCTCACTCACCACTCTCTCACTCACCACTCGCTCACCACTCACTCACTCACCACTCACTCACCACTCACTCACCGCTCACTCACTCACCACTCACTCACCACTCACTCACCGCTCACTCACTCACCACTCACTCACTCACTCACCACTCACTCACCAATCACTCACTCACCACTCACTCACCACTCACTCACCGCTCACTCACTCACCACTCACTCACTCACTCACCACTCACTCACCACTCACTCACTCACTCACCACTCACTCACCACTCACTCACTCACCACTCACTCACTCACCACGCTCTCACTCAGCACTCACTCACTAACGACCCTCTCGCTCAACACCCCCTCGCTCACCACCCCCTCGCTCACCACTCACTCACCACTCACTCTCTCACCACTCACTCTCTCACCAACGTCTCACTCACCACTCACTCACTCACCACTCACTCACTCACTCACCACCCCCTCGCTCACCACCCCCTCGATCACCACCCCCTCGCTCACTCACCACCCACTCACTCACCACTCACTCTCTCACTCACTACTCACTCACTCACCACCCTCTCACTCACCACCCCCTCACTCATCACCCCCTCACTCACCACTCACTCACTCACCACTCACTCACTCACTCACCAACGTCTCACTCACCACCCCCTCGCTCACCACTCACTCACTAACCACTCACTCACCACCCTCTCACTCACTCACTCACCGTCTCACTCACCACTCACTCACTCACTCACCACCCCCTCGCTCAGCACCCCCTCACTCACCACTCACCACTCACTCACTCACCACTCACTCACTCACCACCCTCTCACTCACCACTCACTCACTCACCACCCCCTCGCTCACCACCCTCTCACTCACCACTCACTCACTCACTCACCACCCTTTCACTCACCACTCACTCACCACCCCCTCACCCACCACCCACTCACTCACCACCCTCTCGCTCACCACCCACTCGCTCACCACTCACTCACTCACCACTCTCTCACTCACCACCCTCTCCCTCGCCACCCTCTCACTCACCACCAACTCACTCACCACCCCCTCACCCACCACCCACTCACTCACCACCCCCTCGCTCACCACCCTCTCACTCACCACTCACTCACTCACTCACCACCCTCTCACTCACCACTCTCTCACTCACCACCCTCTCACTCACCACCCTCTCACTCACCACCCTCTCACTCACCACTCACTCACCACCCTCTCACTCACCACTCACTCACTCACTCACCACTCACTCACCACCCTCTCACTCACCACTCACTCACCACCCTCTCACTCACCACTCTCTCACCACTCACTCACTCACCACTCACTCACCCACCACTCACTCAACACCCTCTCACTCACCACCCTCTCACCACTCACTCACTCACCACTCACTCACTCACTCACCACTCACTCACCACCCGCTCACTCACCACTCTCTCACCACTCATTCACTCACCACTCACTCACCACTCACTCACCACCCTCTCACTCACCACTCACTCACTCACCACCCCCTCGCTCACCACCCTCTCACTCACCACCCCCTCACTCACCACCCTCTTACTCACCACCCTCTTACTCACCACCCTCTCACTCACCACTCACTCTCTCACCACTCACTCACCACTCACTCACTCACCACCCTCTCACTCACTACCCTCTCACTCACCACTCACTCACCACCCTCTCACTCACCACTCTCTCACTCACCACCCTCTCACTCACCACCCCCTCGCGCACCACCCTCTCACTCACCACCCTATCACTCACCACGCACTCACTCAACACCCTCTCACTCAACACCCTCTCACTCACCACTCACTCACCACCCTCTCACTCACCACCCTCTCACTCACCACCCCCTCACTCACCACCCTCTCACTCACCACAATCTCAATCACCACCGTCTTACTCACCACTCTCTCACTCACCACCCCCTCGCTCACCACCCCCTCACTCACCACCCTCTTACTCACCACCCTCTCACTCACCACTCACTCTCTCACCACTCACTCACCACTCACTCACTCACCACCTTCTCACTCACCACTCTCTCACTCACCACGTTCTCACTCACTCAACACCCTCTCACTCACCACCCTCTCACTCACCACCCTCTCACTCACCACTCACTCACCACCCTCTCACTCACCACTCTCTCACCACTCACTCACTCACCACTCACTCACCCACCACTCACTCACCACCCTCTCACTCACCACCCTCTCACCACTCACTCACTCACCACTCACTCACCACCCTCTCACTCACCACTCACTCACCACCCTCTCACTCACCACTCTCTCACCACTCACTCACTCACCACTCACTCACCCACCACTCACTCAACACCCTCTCACTCACCACCCTCTCACCACTCACTCACTCACCACTCACTCACTCACTCACCACTCACTCACCACCCGCTCACTCACCACTCTCTCACCACTCATTCACTCACCACTCACTCACCACTCACTCACCACCCTCTCACTCACCACTCACTCACTCACCACCCCCTCGCTCACCACCCTCTCACTCACCACCCCCTCACTCACCACCCTCTTACTCACCACCCTCTTACTCACCACCCTCTCACTCACCACTCACTCTCTCACCACTCACTCACCACTCACTCACTCACCACCCTCTCACTCACTACCCTCTCACTCACCACTCACTCACCACCCTCTCACTCACCACTCTCTCACTCACCACCCTCTCACTCACCACCCCCTCGCGCACCACCCTCTCACTCACCACCCTATCACTCACCACGCACTCACTCAACACCCTCTCACTCAACACCCTCTCACTCACCACTCACTCACCACCCTCTCACTCACCACCCTCTCACTCACCACCCCCTCACTCACCACCCTCTCACTCACCACAATCTCAATCACCACCGTCTTACTCACCACTCTCTCACTCACCACCCCCTCGCTCACCACCCCCTCACTCACCACCCTCTTACTCACCACCCTCTCACTCACCACTCACTCTCTCACCACTCACTCACCACTCACTCACTCACCACCTTCTCACTCACCACTCTCTCACTCACCACGTTCTCACTCACTCAACACCCTCTCACTCACCACCCTCTCACTCACCACCCTCTCACTCACCACTCACTCACCACCCTCTCACTCACCACTCTCTCACCACTCACTCACTCACCACTCACTCACCCACCACTCACTCACCACCCTCTCACTCACCACCCTCTCACCACTCACTCACTCACCACTCACTCACTCACCACTCACTCACCACCCTCTCACTCACCACTCTCTCACCACTCATTCACTCACCACTCACTCACCACTCACTCACCACCCTCTCACTCACCACTCACTCACTCACCACCCCCTCGCTCACCACCCTCTCACTCACCACCCCCTCACTCACCACCCTCTTACTCACCACCCTCTTACTCACCACCCTCTCACTCACCACTCACTCTCTCACCACTCACTCACCACTCACTCACTCACTACCCTCTCACTCACTACCCTCTCACTCACCACTCACTCACCACCCTCTCACTCACCACTCTCTCACTCACCACCCTCTCACTCACCACCCCCTCACTCACCACCCTCTCACTCACCACCCTATCACTCACCACGCACTCACTCAACACCCTCTCACTCAACATCCTCTCACTCACCACTCACTCACCACCCTCTCACTCACCACCCTCTCACTCACCACCCCCTCACTCACCACCCTCTCACTCACCACAATCTCAATCACCACCCTCTTACTCACCACTCTCTCACTCACCACCCCCTCGCTCACCACCCCCTCACTCACCACCCTCTTACTCACCACCCTCTCACTCACCACTCACTCTCTCACCACTCACTCACCACTCACTCACTCAACACCTTCTCACTCACCACTCTCTCATTCACCACGTTCTCACTCACTCAACACCCTCTCACTCACCACCCTCTCACTCACCACCCTCTCACTCACCACTCACTCACCACCCTCTCACTCACCACTCTCTCACTCACCACTCACTCACCACTCACTCACTCACCACCCTCTCACTCACCACCCTCTCACTCACCACTCACTCACCACCCTCTCACTCACCACCCTCTCACTCACCACTCACTCACCACCCTCTCACTCACCACCCTGTCACTTACCACCCTCTCACTCACCACTCACTCACTCACCACTCTCTCACTCACTACTCACTCACTCACCACTCTCTCACTCACCACTCACTCACTCACCACTCTCTCACTCACCACTCACTCACTCACCACTCTTTCACTCACCACCCTCTCACTCACCACTCACTCACCACTCTCTCCATCATCACTCACTCACTCACCACTCTCTCACTCACCACTCACTCACCACTCACTCACTCACCACCCTCTCACTCACCACCCTCTCACTCACCACTCACTCACCACCCTCTCACTCACCACCCTCTCACTCACCACTCACTCACCACCCTCTCACTCACCACCCTGTCACTCACCACCCTCTCACTCACCACCCTCTCAATCACCACTCACTCACCACTCACTCACTCACCACTCTCTCACTCACTACTCACTCACTCACCACTCTCTCACTCACCACTCACTCACTCACCACTCTTTCACTCACCACCCTCTCACTCACCACTCACTCACCACTCTCTCCATCATCACTCACTCACTCACCACTCACTCATTCACCACTCTCTCACTCACCACCCTCTCATTCACCCTTCACTCACTCACCACTCACTCACTCACTCACCACCCTCTCACTCACCACCCTCTCACTCACCACCCTCTCACTCACCACCCACTCACTCACCACTCACCCTTTCACCACCCTCTCACTCACCACTCACTCACTCACCACCCTCTCACTCACCACCCTCTCACTCACCACTCACTCACTCACCACCCTCTCACTCACCACCCTCTCACTCA